CCTCCAGCAGGCAGACCCCTCTGTCTCCCTGTGTGCATTCTACCAGGGCTAAAGCAGGAACTGCACCTGTGGTTGCATGTCACCCACTTGGTCGAGGTCAGACGGCTTGCTCTGTGGGACTGGGAGGATCAGATGCCTGCCAGAGTAAACACAGGCTTGTCTTCGGTGATTCCTCCCTGCAGAGACAGCCTCCACCAGCTTCCTGCTGAGAGGGGCTGGTGCAGCCTCGCACGATGCAGCTGGAGATGGAAGGAGCAGATGGCCCTGTTGGCCCAGATCCCTGCCAGATTGCCAGGGAGGTGTGGGTGGAGTGGCAGCCTGTGCCAGGAGCAGGATGCCCAAGCGAGAAGGCCAGGAGCTACCTCTTCAACATCTAGATGGGGTTCTGCCTATGGAGGGGTACAGGGAGCACCGACCATGGCCTCACTGTGGGCCCTGAGGCAGGATATGTCTGAACTCCCAGAGAGAACACCTTGGTGTTTCAGGGCCAGCTGGAGAGCTCTTGAGAGCTGCAGGGTAGCAGTTGTGGTAGCCTCATGCCCAGCACCCAGGCCAGGGTGGGCCAGGCAGAGCTTAGGGATCTTTATTCTTAGTTTCTTGTCCAAGATAGTAGCTCTTGGATGTTGTTTTACTTAATCCTCACAGCAAAGGAGACACTGTTGTGATCCCCACTTTACAGATGAGGACACAGGGCGTAGAGAGGAGGGATAACTTGCCTAAAGACACAGCTAAACCATGCATGAGAACAGATGGGCCCCTCTGATAAACTGATAGCCACACCTTGGGAGCTGGGGCTTTGGGGACAGATCTACGTAGATCTTTGGAGCAGATCTACGAAGGCGCAACCAGGAGAAGTGGTGGACATTCCTGGCTGGAGAAGAGAGCATGCCCCACTTGTCTTCATGCCCCCTGTGCCCCAGCCAACCCTTAGACCCCAGGGAAGCTTCCTCCATTGTTCAGGGTGCTCAGAGAGCAAGAGACGAGCCTGGTGAGGTTGGGAGAGAGGACTTTGGTATGGCTGATCAGGCTGTACACTGCACAATTCCAGGGCATGTCATTCACATAGACTATGAGGAGAATAGCACCCCTTGGAGTTGTGCCAGGTGGTAGCCCTGTAAGGCAGGATCATATCATACAGGACTTCGAAGACCAAGGGACTGCAAAGGTTTCTGTAAAGGATCAGAGAGTATATAATCCAGGCTGTGCAAGCCATATAGCCGGTGTTGTAACTCCTCAGCCTCACTATTGTAGGGTGAAAGCAGTCGTAGGCGATATGTAAATGAATGAGTGTGACTGTGTCCCAGGAAAACTTTTATTTACAGAAATAGGCTGCCTGACAGATTTGGCCCATGGACCAGTTTGCCATTCCCAGTGAAGTCCATGCAAGGATTCTGAGCCCCATTCTGAGAGCGGTATGGAGCCCTGAGAGGGTTTTCAGCAAAAGTGAGGAGAGGCTGACATTTTGGCCATGGCAGGATCATGTCCCCTACACCTTACCAGGTAGCAGGGTTTCTTTTGTCTTGTTTGTGGATCCTGGAGCCCTTCTCCCTGCAAGAAGAGGCTTAGGGGCCAGGTGTGGTGGCACACGCCTGTAATCCCAGCCCTAGGGAGGCTGAGGCAGGAGGATCGCTGGGAATTTGAGGCCAGCCTGGACTGCATAGTGAGACCCTGTCTCAAAAAAAAAAAGAAAAAAAAAAGAGGCTTGGCCTGGATCCCAAGGGCCTCTATTGTCCCAGAGGTCTCAGAGCAGAGGCTACTGCCATGCGTTCTCCCTTTCCTTCCCCCACATGCTAGCTCTCAGCTTAGGTCTGGATCCCCAGCAGGGTGGCAGAAATGCTGGTTCCCATCCCTAGTCTCAGGGTCAGATGAAAGCAGTCCACTGGGCAGTAGCCCAGGCTTGCAAATGAGAAAATTATCCCAAATTCCAGCTCCTCCCTTTGGCTGTGTGTGCCTTGAACTATACCCTCCAGACCCTCCATCTCCTCTTCTGCATTGACCTGGTACGTACGTACCTGTTATAGTTTGGGTCTGGATGTCCCCCCAAAGCCTCATGTGGTTATAGGTTATTTTGGAGGTGGCTGAATCTAGAGTGTGTGATTAATTCATGGTGGGGCTAGGCCTGAGGGCACGGGATTAAGGGTGTGAGTGCTACCCACCCTAGGTAGTCTGAAGGAAATAAAAGGGACAGAAAGACCTTGTTAAGGTCTCTTGTTGTTTTTGCTACCTTCTAGCTGCCATGAACTGTTTCTCCTCTGGAGGGCCTGGCTGCCATGCCACCCTGCCTTGGAGCCAGCCAATTAGAGACTGAAACCTCTATGAACTGTGAGCCGAATAAACCCTTTCCCCTTTAACTTTGGGCGTTGGGTATTTTGACTCAGCAATAAGAGAAAAATAACTAATGTGATAGGAAAGGCACAGTAAGAAGACTATTGCTAGGAGAATCTTTTTCTTGCTGAACCCCAGAGGCAGGAAAGCCTGATCATGTGCTGCGTAGTAGGGACTTTGCCCCAGTGAGCTGGGCCTACAGCCAGGCTCTGGCCTCCCAGCTGGAGCTGGGAAATATAACTGCAGAGTTGGCCTTGGCTCATGAATATTAAGGGTTTCTTAGAGATGGGGGTGATTTGTCCCACTTCTTGTGCTGAAAATAACTGCCCAACATCAGAGTAATTACATGGCTTGGGCTCCGTGTAGCAGAGATCACCTCAATAATTGCTGTGCACAAACGCTATTTTGGCAGCTGATGCTTATTTTCTGCCTCAGAATCTTAATGGGAAACCTTTCCACCACCCACCCTGTGCATCTTGCACCCTTACTTCAGGTGAGCAGAACTGTTCTGGACAGGATCATAATGGCTACTTCCACTCCCCCAAAAGCCATCTGTTGAACTCAGGGTACCTCCTAGCCCATGCACAGGCTGGGCCTGGTGATTGGTAGCTTTGGCATCATCTCTTAATATACCTCTGGATCTAGGAGCAGTTACCAGGTCACCCTCCCTCTGTAGGATGGACATGTGGATAACGCTACATCTATGGATGGAGTCTTGTGGAGTTGGCACCAGAGGGATGGTCTGTGTTGCTCAGAGATGGATGCGCTGTCTTTGAACTGAGCCAGGGGACTGCCAGTTGGGCCAAAGTTCTGGAAAAGTTCTTGTGGACTTACTATGTACCAGGGACAGAGCCATAAATACCAGATTGTGGTCCTGCCTTCTTGTGGCTTAGTGTCCAGTGGGCAGACAGACCCAAAGCTCGTAATTATCCATATGGTTATGTAATTATAATTTTAATAAAGGTATAGATGACATGAATAGAAGCTATATGTCTATATGATGGAGATATGGGGGAATTTGAACTGAGACCTAAAGATAAGGAGTGAGGCAGGTATGCATGTGTGCATGTGTGTATGTGTGTGCATGCATGTATGTTAGAGATGGGCACATGGATGATGGTGGTTGGATTTATGATTGGATGGATGGATGGATGGATGGATGACGGATGGATGAGTGGATGACTGGATGGATGGATGAGTGGGTGGGTGGGTGAATTCATGGATGGACAGATGATCGAGTGTTCCACTCAATAGGAATAGGGTATGGAAAAAGCTTAGAGGGTCGGAGGAAGTGTGTGGCTGACAGAAAACTTGCAGAAAGTATTTGCAATTTGGAAGTGAGACTAGAGAAGCAGGCAGATAGGCTCGCTGTGTACTGTTGTGCAAGTTGTGTATTGCCTGGGTCCAGGAGGTGCTAGTCTCACAGAGCTCAGTGTGGATGCCACTCCTGGGATTGTGAAGGATGTGAAGTGCAGGCAGGGATCACATCATGTGAGACCTTATATGAGACCTTATAATGTTTTGGACATTATTCCCTGAGCAGTGGAGAGCCAGGAAAGGGTATTAGTAATTTGTGATAGGGCTAATTTCCATTTTAATGCCCCATACCAGTACTGTCCAACAAAACTTTTTATGGAGATGGAAATGTTCCATTTCAGCACTTTCCAATATGGTAGCCACATGTGGCTACTGAGTCAGAGTGACTGAGAGACTGAATTTTTTTTGTTTTTGGTACCAGGGATCGAACGCGAGACTTTGCACTTTTGAGGTAGGCGGCGGAACCACTGAGCTAAATCCCCGGTGAGAGACTGAATTTCGAGTGTTTATTAGTCATTGTAGCCAGATGTAGCTCATGGTTCATACTGGAGAGTGCAGATCCATCCTCCCAAGGGTCTATCTCTTACTAGATCAAGTCCTGTTGCCCCCAACCACCAGCAGCAATGTGTCTTGGCCGAGTCTGCTGGAGGCAGCACACTGGCTAGGTGGAGGCCTCAGTCTCCTCTTTGCATTTGCAGCCCTGGATGTAGTTGGGGCGGGGTCTGGAACCTGAGCTAATGGCGATAGAGCTGGAGAGCTGCCCCCCAACCCCTACTGCTCCTGGAACCCTGCGGAGTCCTCTACCCCTCATCAATGTCTTTTCCCTGGTACCATGGGGTTGCTGACTGACTTTTTTTCAGCAGAGTGGGTGGCCTTCTCCCTGCCTGTCCCTCCTGGTGGCTTCCTTCCCACAGAGGTACATGGCTGAGGATGCTCCTGGGCATTGCATGTGCCGAGGTGCAGAGACAGTGTCCAGCATGAGCACTTGGGGATGTGGATTTGGCTCCTGTATCAGAGGGAGCCAGGTTGGAAGGGATGAGAGGAGGCTAGGAGGGGCCCAGACCCAACTGCTCTCCATTTGCAGGGCCCAGGCTTCCATCCCTGCTACATCAGCACTGTGACCTCAGGGTTGTCACTCACACACAAGCCAGCTTCTAGATCCAAGTTTATCTGCTGGCCCCACAGGCAGCCGCCCCCTGTTCACCCCTCTGTCCTAGAGGTGCACTTGCCAATCACCTGCCCAGTCCACCCCTGGGACTCTGAATCCAGGGGGGAATCTGGTCACTCATGCCAGGCCCTCACGTGCATGCATACCCCATGTGCGACGGGCATCTCACTCCTGTTCCCTCCTGTTACAGTGCGCTACTTCCTGAAGAATAAGGTCAGTCCTGATTTGTGCAACGAGGATGGACTCACAGCCCTGCACCAGGTAAGCTGGGTTCACCAGGGGCCCCCAGCGCCCTGCTCCCCACCTGGACTGGACAGGTGCCCCATTTTGCTGCACTTTCCTGCCCAGAACCCTCAGGGTGGACGGAGTGAGGAGCCACAGGTGGCCCATCTGAAAGACTCTTGTCTGCTTCAGGGACGTGAGTGTTTCTCACACGCATGACTGTGGAGCCTCTGTGTGCACACATACACACATGTGTGCAGAGACAGGCCCCGAGGATAGTGGCCTGTGTTAACTGTATCCCCACTGCCCAACAAAGCAAGTCTGTTTGGAGCTTGACATTTTTTTTTTTTTTAGTACTGGGGATCGAACTCAGGTCCTTGCACTTGCACAGCAGGCAGCGAAACCACTGAGCTAAATCCCCGGCCCTGGAGCTTGACATTTGACAAGTACATTTGCACCCACCAGGACATCCCACCCACCCTGGTGACAAAAGTGATTAATGCAAAGCCCACAGGTCCAAGAACTATGGCCATGAACCATGTACTGTCACAACACATCTGCTTCCTAGGGCAGCATGATGGTCCCACCCTCCCTGGCCAGGACAGGCTGTTCTGGCTCACTTCTTGCGTGGATGATTCCTCCTCCTCTGCAGCCTCCTAAGTGTCCCCAGCATTCACTCTGGTTCTTTCAGCCACAGGAATGTTCAAACCAAAACCTTGAGTTTACGCAAAGCTCTGGGATCTTCTCATACTGCTGGGGCTAAAGAATAAACTCTTGGCCACGTCGCAGAAGACCTGTAAAGCCCAGCCCCTGCCCAGTCCTCTGCTTTCTGGCTCTCTGATTCTGGCCACCAGCTTTTCTGGTCCTGGGACACTAGACTCCTCCTTCCAGGGTATGGACAGTGCTCTGTGTGCTCAACTGCTAGTCCTGTCCACCCTAAGAGCCTGAGAGCTGTGCTGTGACAGACACGTCCTTTTCCTGAGCACCCTCGTTTCTAACAAATCCTTTTGGCCATTCGTGTGGCAATTTGATGTCACCTCTTCCCTAACCAGACTCAGCCCCATGAAGACACAGCCTGAGTCTGTGCTCATTGCTGTGTTCCAGCATCTGTCCCCAGTCTGGCATCCAGTAGGTGCTCAACACACGCATGCTGAATTCTCGAGTGAGCACTCCAAAGCTTTCCCATATCCTGGACCAAGTGAAGGACCAGGTGGACTTGTGTGCAGCCTGTGGGAGGAAGCTAGGTAGGAAGGCATGGATGGAGACTGGTTGTGCTCTAAGCCCCAGGGCAAGGCCTTGCCCTCAGCCCCATAACCCAGCGGCCTCCTCATTCTCCAGGGCATAAAAACCCTGCAAGCAGCCAGATGTGATGATGCGCACTTGTACTTCCAGTTATTCAGGAAACTGAGGCAGGAGAATCACAAATTTGTGCCCAGCCCGGCAACTTAGCAAGACCCTGTCTCAAACTAAAATATATATTTAAAGGTCTGGGGATGTAACTCAGTGCCCTGTGGGTTCAATTCCCAGTGCTGCCAAAAAACCCCCAAATCAACAAAACCCACAGACAGCCCTCGACACTGGATAGATATTAGTTATTAATAAAATGTGTCCTGTGGCCACTTCTCTGCAAAGCCCTTCCCTTATGCATTTGTGTGGATTTGGTCCTCACCAAAGCCTCTGAAAGGTTATTCTCCCCACTTTGTGACCCAGAACCGTGAGGCTCCAGGACAGCCCTTCCCATAGGCCTTTCGGTGATGAGGGGAGCGTTCTGTGTCTGCACTGAGCGGGACAGAAGCTTCATGTGACTAATGGGATGGAAGAACTGGATTCTGACTTATTTAATTGTTCACAAACTTAAGTAAGTCGAGGAGCCATGTTCGACAGAGCAGATCCGGGTGGTGCCGTCTCCTGTCTGAGCCCGGTCAGTGCAGCAGCAGCAGCAGATCAGGATGGAAGCCAGCAGTCTCGCCTAGTGCTGCTGTCCCTGCCTCAGTGAACTCTACCGAGGCACCTCCTCTGGCTTGGAGTTCCTGCTCCCCGCATCGCACCTCGGCTTCCTCTCTGCTCGTGACTTGGCTTCATCAGCAGTCCCTGCTGTGGCTTCCAGCTTAACTCTTCTGGCTCTGAGTTTAGGTCCACGGATTCCTGACCAGGTGGATTCATCCTGCTCACCACTTCCACTGCAGGAGACACCCCACCCAGGACCTGCAGGCTCTGTTAATTCACTAAACAGTATTTACTGAGCACTGACTGCCATGTTCTCTGCTGGGCACAGGGCCCCAGATTTGAGTTAGGCAGCATCACTGCTCTCAGAGTTCACGGTGTGTTGTGACCATGGGCATGTGAATAACAAAAAAGGCAATGCAGTGTGGTCAGGGTTCACACAGAGGTAAGCAGAGAGCTCTATGCAACTTGAAGCTGAGAGCTGATGAACGACCTCAAAGGGGAACTGAGAAACGCTTCCAACAGGAAGGGCACCTGAGCTGGGTCTTGAAGGTTGAGTAAGAGCATGCTAGATAGAAAGGAAGAACATTCAAAGCAGAGGTAACAGAATTAAAGAGGCATGAGAAAGAGCATCAGCCTTTCAAGCCTGGAATCGGGGGGGTCAGTTGTGGCATTATCAGTATGCAAGGGACCCCGAAGAAGCAGCAAGAGGCAAGACTGGGAAGACTGAGAACAGGGCCTCCGGAGTCAGACCCTGGTGAATCTGTAGCTCTATTTTCATCTTGGATTTAATCCATTTCTCAGTGTGGCTGTGTGAACCCCAGCCTCATTGAGCCAGTTTCCCCGTCCATAAAGGGGATGAGAGATCCTCACAGGCTTGCTTTAAGGATTAAGTGCAGCAATGAATGGCCAAAGTTAGCTAGGTGCCCAGCTTAGCGAGGGAGTCCTCCAAAAGCTTTGGCTTTTCTCCATGACAATGTGATGTGTCCTGTTGTGATCACCATCGTTTCAGGGACTGTCGTTGTCATTGTTAGTGTCACTACAGCTCCAGTACAGCCAGGGGGACTGGTGCATGTGAGCATCCTCTTCCACCTGGCCCAGGAGTGTGGATCAGCTCCTCTGCCTTCCGGGTCTACAAGCTGAGAGCCGCGTGATTGATAACTGAGGAAGCGTTCTCTGAGTGTGGGTGTGTGGAAGGGGGTGAGAGGGAGGCAGGCAGAGAAGATGAGGCCTCACCTAGGGCAGTAGGGATGAGGGCAGGGATTTAGGAAATGAAGCCACAGCAGGAGGAGTCAGCTGAAAGCCAGGTGCCATTCCCTGCCTTGGCCATGCAGGGCCTGCCCACCTCTCCGAGGGCATCCTCAAGCATCCCCAACCTTGCTAAGCCGCTCTGTTCAGACTCTGCAGTTCAGGATGCACAGCCCCACCGCCTTCAATCTGACTTTCCACTCCTGGGAGTTCCACAGATCTCCATTGACAGCCTGGGACCCTCTTGTTCTACTGTGGCCCATTGCCTTGAGTGCCCTCTGGTGGCTGTGTCACGCCACCGCGTGGTCCTCCGGTCACCTGAGGCAGTACCTGCTGCAATCTCCTGCCTATCTAGCATAGATACCTTCAGACCTAACCACCCGAAGACTGGCTGACTCAGAAAGAACACGGGTCTCTGGCATCATCTGTGTAAACGGCTGCTCCTTTCCCACACGTCCTTCTGGTGCCGAGCCCTGGCTCACTGGGCATAGAGTGGGGGCTGTGGTGCCCTTGTCCCACACCCACGCCTACACCTATGCCCTCTTGCAACCATGGACTCACACAGGTGTCCCTGCCCCTTCTGCTGGCCTCTAGTCTCTTCTCACCATCCTTACAATCTTTTCTATAGGCCAGACCACTGCCATCTCTTAACTGGATGACCTCACCAGTGGGCGTGTACACACACACACACACACACACACACACACACACACACAATCTGTTCTCCACAAGGAACTAGCAAAGAGTGATTTTTACAAACAATTCTGAGTGTGCTACTTTTTTGAGGTTAGCTCTCCAGCAACTCCCATTGCTCTGAACACCAAGCCTACACCTGGTGGTCAGGGCTGAGCCCAAGTCCCCTACTGGCTTCTCCAGAAGTCACCTCTAGGCCAGATCCTGCACTCTGGAGTCTGCGAACTGCTCCAGACTTCCTCGTCTGTCCTCACCTCTCACTCATGCCCCTGGCAGAGGCCCTAGTGTCCTCATACTAATTTTTTGCTCCTGATCCCTGGAGTTTGGGGGCTCCTGAACCCCTGTGTTCTCTCTAGGGGGCTACAGGCTCCTGAACTTGTCCCCTTGCTGGGGCTCACCCACCTGAGGTCACCGCTCCATGCAGGTGGGAACACAAGTGTGCTGTCTCCTAGCAGGGACAGTATAAGGACCCCCAGGACCTGCAGCTGGATTCTTGGGGGGAGTCTTAGTTTTGGGGGGTCTTCTCCAAGATGTATGTTCCTGGGTCAGAAGTTCCCAAGTCAGAGATTTCTTCTCCTGGCTTCTTGTGGGGAACACGGGATGTCCCCATGATGGCTTGGGGCCCTGCCTGGGCTCACTGCACCTCTGTGTCCCTCCCAGTGTTGCATTGACAACTTTGAGGAAATCGTCAAGCTGCTTCTCTCCCACGGTGCAAATGTGAACGCCAAGGACAATGAGCTGTGGACGCCCCTGCATGCTGCAGCCACCTGTGGCCACATCAACCTGGTGAAGATCCTCGTTCAGTAGTACGTGCCTGTTCCTCCCCAAGCACAGCCTCCCAGAGCTGCTGCCTCCTGCCTTCTCCAAGTCCACTCCTCTTTCCTCTCTTACTCTCTTCCTCCCTTCCTCCCATTCTTCCCTCTCTCTCATCTCTTTTTCTTTCTCTGTCATTCCATGTTTCTGTTCATGCTTGTCACTCTCTCCTCAAAATCATTCCAGATGCCTCTTTCTCTCTCTTGCAGTCCTCCTGCCTCAGCCTCCCGAGTAGCTAAGATGATAGACATGTGCCACCATACCCAGCCCAGTGTTTTGCATTGTGGGGAAAATAAATATAACATAAATTTTACAATCTTAACCATGTTTAAGAGTACAACTCAGTGGCATTAAGTGTATTATCATTGTTATACAGCCATTACCACCATCCATCTCAAGAACTCTTCATCTTGCAAAACCAAAACTCTGTACCCATTAAACAGCAACTCCTCCCATTCCCTCCCTACACCCCGTCTCTCACAATCATGATGCTGCTTTCTGTCCTTATGAATTTAGCCTCTCTAAGCACATCTTGTAAGTGGACTCATGTAGTGTTTATATTTTTGTGACTGGCTTATTTTACTTAGCGTAATGTCCTCAAGCCTCATCCATGTTACAGTGTGTGTCAGAATTTTCTCCCCTTTTAAGGTTGATTACTATTCCATTGTGTGTGTGTGTGTGTGTGTGTGTGCGCTCATGTGCATGCCTCATTTTGCTTATCCATTTGTCTATTGATGCACACTTGGGTTGCTTCCATGTTTTAGCTGTTATGAACATGTGTTTATAAATTATCTCTTAGTGTCTCTGCTTTAAGTTCTTTTAAGGTATAATAGTACAGTTGCTAGATCATGTGATACTTTTTTCAGGAAGAGCTGCTATGCTGTTTTCCACAGTGGTTCTTCCATCTTCCATCCCTGCCAACATTGTTCAAGAGTTCCATTTTCCTCACATCCTCAGCAACACTTGTTATTTTCTGGGCATTTTTGTTAGCTTGCTTGTAGTCTACCTAATGGGTTTTCTCTGCACCATTTATCATAAAGATTGTCTTGAATTGGCTTGGCACCTCATCAAAATTCATTTACTATCTGTGCAAGTGTTTATTTCGGGGCAGATTCCATTCTAGTGGTCTCTATGTCTGTCTTTGTGCCAGTACAACACTCTTTTAACTAAGGTAGCTTTGTAAGTTTTGAAATCAGGGAGTGTGAGTCCTCCAGCTTTGCTCTTCTTTTTCAGCATTATTTTGGCTGTTTGTGGTCCCTTGAGATTGCATATGAATATTAGGATAGATTTCTGTTCTGCAAAAAAAAAAAACATTGAGACTTTGATAGGGATTGCATTAAATCTGTAGATTGCTTGGTAGAATATTAAAGTCCTGACTGTATTTAATCTTCCAATCCATGATGGGATGTCTTTCCATTTGTTTCTGTCTTCTTTAATTTCTTTCAAAACAATTATTGCAGAAATAGTTTACAGTTTTATTGTACAAGATTTTCATTTCCCTGGTTAAATTAGCTCCTAAATATTTAGAATATACACAAATGTAAATATAGGTATATACATACACACATATATATGTATGTATATGTATGCATGTGTATTTATTTGTTTAGTGATACTAGAATTCAGGGCGTTTGCAGTGAACTATATTCCTTGCCTTTTAAAATTTGAGACAGGGCCTTGCTAAGTCACTAAGTTGCCTGAGCTAGGTTTCAACTTAGAATCCTTTTGCATTAGCTTCCCAGAGTGCTAGAATTACAAGTGGAGGACACCATGCCTGGCTTTAAGTATCTACTCTTGATGGAATTGTTTTCTTAATTTCCTTTTTGGACTTTTTTCATTGTTAATGTATAGAAAAGCAACTGACTCTTGTTTTACATTTTTCTTGCCAATTTGTTGAATTTAGTCATTAGTTTTAACAGTTTGTGTGTGTGTGTGTGTGTGTGTGTGTAATCTTTAGGGTTTCCTTATATGTAAGATTATATCATCTATGAGTAGATGACCTCCCTTTCCAATCTGGATGCCTTTTATTTCTTTTTCTGACTCTGACTTAAACCTCCAACACTATATTGCCTAGGAGGTGATGAAAGCAGGTATTCTTGCCTTCCTTCTGATCTTAGAGGATGCGCTTTCAGTGTTTCATTATTGTAGATCTTTGTGATGTGTTTTCCATGAGTGGACTTTTTTTTTTTTTAGGTCATTTCCTTTTCTCTAGGGTTTTGCTTTTTTGGGCTTTTTTTGAGACAGGGTTTCACTGTGTAGTTCAGACTGGCCTTAAACTCACAAGGTAGCCCACGCTGGCCTCGAATTCATGGCAATCCTCCTGCTTCAGGTTCCCAAATGCTGGGATTACAGGTGTGCACCACCATGCCTGGCATTGTTTTGCTAGTTTTTGAGTGCTTATATCATGAAATAGTGTTGAATTTTGACAAATGCTTTTTATGCATCAGTTGAGATAATCATGCAGTTTCTCCCCATTCTGTTAATGTGGTATATTACATTGATTTTTGTGTGTTGAATCATTTTTCCATCCCAGGAATAAATCCCACTTGTTTATTGTGGGATTCTTTTAATATGCATCTTTTTAATACGTTGCTGGATTTGGTTTGCTAGTATTTTGTTGAAGATTTTTTTTTTTTGAGACAGGGTCTTGCCACGTAGCTCAGGCTGGCTTTGAACACACAGCAATCCTCCTGCCTCAGCTTCCCAAGTGCTGGAACTGTAGGCATGCACGACCACACACCCAGCATTGTATCATCGTTCTTTAAGGATATTGGTGTGCAGTTTTCTGTTTTTTATAGTGTTTTCTTTCTGGCCTTGATATCAATATATCATTCTCTTTTTATCTCTTTTTTCACAATTCTATCTTCATCTGTGCTACTCCATTTGTTGGGTTGTTGCTGTTTTTGTTTATTTATTTAAAAAATCAAGTGTGCTTCCTTGGTTTTAACCCAAATCCTCTCCACATGCTTTTCTTTAAGGCAAAGACCTTAAACTCTCTGAAACTCTTGCTAAACTTCTCAACTTCCATAAACACACAGAAAAGGCAATTTTCAATTTCATATGTGTTCAGTTGAATCCAGTTAATAATTGGTTAATGTCTGAGCTAGGCTAGGCCCTGTGTTGGGCACTGGACACACAGGAAATACGAAAGTCCTGGGGAGCCAAGTGAGCAACCAGAGAAGAGACAGAGCAGCAAAACCAGTGGCCTGGTGTCCCCAGAAGTCGAAGAGAACATTGAGTGCAGGGAGTCAGGAGTGACTGAGAGCAGGTGACCTTTTCACAGATGTAGGCAGAGCAGCAGGAGCTCACTGTGTGGCTCCAAAAGGCAGGGACAAAGGTATCCGTACTGCTGGCCTGACTCTGAGAGGTGGATTAGCTTCCAAGGGCACACAAGATCTCAGAGAGGTCATGATGGAGGACTGTCAGGCCAGAGGACAGGATGGTGGCCCATGGCTATGGCCCTCATGAGAGCCCCACCGTGGTTAATTCTGCAGGAGCATCTCATAGCCACAGCCAATCAGCAGTGCTACCCAGAGGACAAAGGGAGCTGTGCTGGCCTGGCTCAGAGGGTCTCTAATGCTAATCTGCACCAGAATCACTGGTGGGATGGGTTTTAAATATATATTCCCAGGCCCTACCCCAAAGACTGCTTCAGGAGGCCTGGAGAGGAGCTCAAGGAGCTGTGCCTTATTTCAGTGGCCCCCAGGTATTTCTGCTGCAGGGCACCCCCTGGTCATGCTTGGGCATCACTGGCCCAAAGGACAAATTCTGTTAGGGAGCTCCAGGTGTCTGTTTTGCCCCTGTCCTGGCCAGCTTTTGGGTGGGGACTTGGGGAAAGATGGGAAAAGATGTGTCTCCATACAGGTAAAGGTTGACATGGAATGTGGAATGAAAAGAGCTGACATAACCTAGGTTTGAGTCTTGAACCTACCAAGTCCAAGCTGTGACCTTGGACGTGTGACAGAGTCTGTTTGAGTCTTTGTCTCCTCTTGAATGAATGAGACCAACAGTACCACCCACGGGGACTCATGAGGACTAATAAAGTGATGTGTGTCAGGGGCCTAGTGCCACCTTATTTCTGAGTGGCTGTCTATATAGAGTAGCGCTGCTGCTGTTCATATTAGCTTTACTGTTGTCATCAAGGAGGACTTTCATATCTGCCCCTCACTGCCCACCTGCTGCTTCACAGAGCAGGAAGCTGGGGGAGATCTTCTGGGATGGCTCTTGGGACTTTTGTACCTTGCAGTCTGGGGACCCAGGATACCGAAGCCACCGTGCTGATGGGCTGAGTGGTGGGCATAGCTGGGTATCACTTTGCTGGGGTGCACCACGGTGGGGTCATGGATGCTGGGATATGTGCTGGGGCTGTGGGAAAAGCCAGAGGGCAGAGGCAGCCAGAGCAACCTTAGCCACCCTACCTGGCCCTCACCCTGACCCTCTCTCTGCAGTGGGGCTGACTTGCTTGCTGTCAACTCTGATGGGAACATGCCATATGACCTCTGCGAGGATGAACCCACCCTGGATGTCATCGAGACCTGCATGGCGTACCAGGGTAAGGGAGGGCAGCACACTTTCAAGTGGGCATAGCACGGCATTGCAGTGTCATGTAAATGAGTGCAGTAAGTGTCACATTGGCTAGCTATGTGCCTCCCTGCCTGGTACTCAGCCCCCATAAATGGGATAGGCCCACATTATTGTCATTATCTGTGTGATTAACAAGATTAACAAGGGTGTGAAAGGACCCTGGAAAACATGCTATGCAGAAAGGAGGTATTGTTCTCATCTCAGTCACCCACACGTGCAGGCGGCCTCAGCCGGCCCTGTCTCCTCTTTGTCAGCTGTGACAATTCAATTCAATAAACATTCACCATAAAGAGATATATTCCTATTTGGGAAAATAGTAAAAAGTCAAGAACATTCTCCAGTATTGCTGTGTGCCAGGCACCAAACTCACTGCCAGAGGCCCAGACAAACAAGATGTAGGCTGTTCTCAGCTCAAAACAAGTTTCAGAGAGGAAACAGACATAGCAGTGAGAGACCCGCCTGCCCCAGTATCCCACAGCCATGCCTGTGAAGCGCCTCCTCCTAAATAGGTCCCAAGTTCAGGCCTTCAGCTGCACCCTGAGGTCCGGCCCTGGCCCGTGCCTTGTGTCTCCCTCCCCCTCTGCTGTGATCACTACCAATTAGTCTCCTTGTCCCCTGGCACCTAAGCTTTTCCTATTTATTTCTGCTGAGGTTCTTAACAATTTCATGTGAATCTGAAGAATCTATGGACCTCTTCTCAGAATGTTTTTTAATATAGTTTTAAAATGATAGGACTATTAAGAATGCCAAATGATATTTAAATAGATCTATCAAAATATGTTTAAATGTATTAGAAACTTCATTAAGTCATGAAACAATAAGATAACATAAAATGAAAATTTCTAGCGTGTTGTTCAGTGACAAATTCAGAGGCATTGCTAATGCCACTGTAGGTTTTGCTTACATTCTGGTGGTGGGAAACACTAAATTTCATTTAGTGTCAAAATAAACATGTACCAGCACATTGTGTTTCTCCTTTAAAGTTTATAAATCTTCCCTGAATTCTATCCAAGGGTGCTTGATCTAATGGATCTTTTCATAGAGCATATACCCTCTCCTTAAATACCATTACTAGCTGCCAGTAATAGCTACACTTTGTAAACAGGGATTAAGGTTATAAAATGTCTTTGTGGGCCCCTCTCCCTCAATTTACTCAACTCTCCATTTGAAAGTAATATATCCATTTATTCAGTAATTTCTGCAACAAAAGTGCATTGAGTATTGTGCCCAGTTCTGCAAACCCAACCACAGAGCAGCCAAAGGAAACCAAGAGAGACTCTGAGGGTGGCCAGCAGAGGCCAACTGGGGAGGTGATGTGCACCGCTGGAGTGGCTAGAGGTGGGTAGGTAGCTAGTTGGGCTTCCAGGTAGGAGAGCAGCAGGCACATAAGTGACCAAGATTAACACAGTGCCTACTGGGTACCAGGCAGGACTGCTGCTCAATCTGTGGATCAATGCATGGTGCTTGTGCTTATTAGGCCTGGGGGACAGTGACCTAGGTCCCCCTTGGCTGGAAGGCCCTGGGGAGCAGGAGCCGTGCCTCCCCTATCTGCTCTTCTCTCTCTTGGGACTTAGGCCTGAGAATGCTGAACAGATCCTGTCTCTCCCACTGCAGGCATCACCCAAGAGAAAATCAACGAGATGCGGGCTGCTCCCGAGCAGCAGATGATCACAGACATCCACTGTATGATTGCAGCGGGCCAGGATCTTGACTGGATAGATGCGCAGGGTGCCACACTGGTGAGGAGATGAGACAGCTGATTTGAGCTGGGGGCAAGTACTAGAACCAAGACCAGCTAGGGCTGAAGTGGAGCAGGCCCTGGTACAGTTTGGGCTTCCCTCTGGCCTTGGACCTGCTCCAGATCCCTTTGGGGCCAGGGTCACCCCTGGAATATGGAAGGTTAGCAGAGTAAGGCTCAATCTTTTGGGGGCCCTGGCCACTCTCACCTGGGGCTGGGAGTTGGGACCCCTGGATGGGATGCTTGGCTCTATTGTCCACTTGTTCCATCTCCAAGATCATGCCTATCTTGGATGTTATCCCCCCCCCCCGCCCCCGCAATGATGTCTTCCCTCAGGGACTGGTTCCACCATTATCCCCTCATCGATACCATCTGGCTTTGCAATATCCATTCCTTGTCTGGTGTCCTTTCTCCCACCCTTACTGCCTTGCCTCATCACCTCTTCTTGATATTGCTTCAACAGCCTTCCCTCTGAGTTCCCTGACTTCAGAGTTCATCCATCCATCTATTCCCCACCCATCCATTTATCCATCCACCCATCTATCTGTACATCCATCCATCCAGTTAACATATAGTCGTATGAAAACATTTGCTTTGTGACGTACACTTTATTGGACCCTGGAGAAAGAACAATGGAGTCTTCTTCCTTCTCAAATCTGCCTGGTTAACTCCACTCACCTTTGCACCCCAAGAGTCAGTGATTTGGGAAAACCTCTCTGGCATTGCTTCCTAGGTTCTCCTAGCACACTGCAGCTCAGCATGGGTCAGAGTCTCTTTCTGCAGCCTCTGCAATGAAAACAGGAGCATGGTGAGCTTGGGAGCCCACCCCTCAAGGCTGGTGATGTGTTAGGCTTTGGCTCCATGCTGGTCAGGGGTTCCAGGGCCTTAAGCTTAGCATACAGGGCACAGTGATTCCATGTTCTTTACTGTCCTCAGGACTGACCTTGTGGCTCTGGTACAGTAACAGGATTCCCCCAACCTGGCTCTTGAGCTCTGACCTATGCTTTATGCCCATTTCTATTTCCTGGGTCCCTGCTTGGGTCACCTGTTCATCCCAGCCTTAAGAATGGGGTCAGGAAGCCAGGCATGGTGATTTATGCTGGGTATAACCCCAGCCTCTGGGAGGCTGAGGTAGGAGGATCACTAGGTCAAGCCCTGCCTAGGCAATTTAGCAGCTTAGGGAGTCTCTGTTTCAAAAATTAAAAATAAATAAATAAATCAGAACAGGGTGGGGATGTAGCTCAGTGCAAAGGCCCTGGGTTCAAGCCTTAGTACTGCAAAAAAAAAAGGGAGGAGATCAAGGGCTGAAACTAAATGCTGCTGGCCTCAGGGGACCCACCCACATGGCCCAGGCACATATGTAGGTCTCAGGTCTTCCTCTAAACTGGAGAATACCTGAAGATTAAGAGTGCCTCCCTCACAGGCCTGTTGGGAGGGTTAAATGTGTTTCTGCATGTAGGGGTGCAGAGTCTCTAAATAGTAGATGTTAGCAATGATCATTATTATTACTAACAATATCACTATCCTACTCAGGCTTCTTTTCTCCAGCCAAATATTAAGATCCCATGGTTTGCAGTATCTGGCTGGCCAGCTAGGCGTCATTCTTCAAGACTGGCAAGCATCAAACATCTATAAAGCAGATAATTATACTAATTTTCATGTGCTATTTACCATATCATACCCTCGATTTATTCTAAAAATTAAAAAAGAAAAAGGAAAATCTTCATTTGCTAGAACTGCTGCAGCCTTCCATCAGCTGAGGGAACATCTGAGCATCAGAGCCCTGTCCTTCTAGATCACTTCCTGAGGCCATGCCTTCTTGGTCTCACTGACTCTGCTGTCCCAGACCTCAACTTCCCAGAGTTCTCTGGCTTCTCCCAGCTGGTCTCCAGCTGCCATCTTTAACTCTGACCCCTGTCTCCCACTGTGGCTAAGCAGTTCCTTTCTCTGCCTCATCACCTTCTCCCACATTCATTCATTTTCATGGCGTACTTTGTCATTGAGTAGGGATCTTGAAGGGTGTGGATCACTTACTGAGTGTTCATCCTGTGCCAGGCACTTTATATGTTTTTTGGGCAGTTGAACAAGTGGGACAACTGAAGCCTGCTAGGTGTTGGCCATGGCTGGTGGCCTTGACTGGTGCTAGGTACGGGAGTTGGGACCTCAACATGGGGGTTTATTTTATTGAGTGCATCAGTTATCTGTTGCTGCATAACAAAATACCCTCACAATGTAGCATCTTAATAGTAAGTAGTGTCTCAAATAGTTTCTGTAGGTTAGGGCATTAGGCATTGCTCAGCTGGGTGGCTCTGGCTTGGCATCTCCCATGAGGCTGCAGTGAAGATGTTGGCTGGGACAACAGTCTCACCTGAGGTCTTGACTTGAGCTGGAGGATCCCCTCCGAGGTGGCTCCCTACACACCTAACAAGTTAGTGCTGGTGGTTAGCTGGAAGCCTCAGTTTCTTGCCGCCCATGGACCTCTCTCTAGTGCTGTTTGACGGTCCTCACAACATGGTGGCTGCCTCCTCCTAGACTAGTTGATCTAAGACAGCATGAGTAGAAGTAGCAATGCCTTAAGTGTATCAGCCTCAGAAATCACACACTTTATATTCTCTTGTTTATGAGAAGCCAGTCATTCAGTCTGGTCTATATCGAAGGGGAGTGCATCAGGCTCCAGATTTTAAAGACAGATGTGTCAAATAACTTGTAGACATATTTTTAGACTGCCACATTAGACATCTAGGACCCCTTGCCCAGGACTCAACACAAAGTAGGGGAACCACAGGGGAGAAGAGCTCACCTCTCTGCCTTTCCTTCTAGCTTGGTATTTCAGACTTAGTGATTCCCTGCAAATTGGCTGGTGTTTCCACCTCATTCTCTTTCATTCTGCTGGCCCCAAGGATGCTCTGGGATTTGGGTAGGGCTGCAGGATATCCTGCCTCCAGGTGTGAGACCAGCCCCCTAGGGAATGCTCACTTTTTTCCTCTGTTCCAGCTGCACATAGCTGGAGCCAATGGATACCTGCGGGCAGCTGAGCTCCTCCTGGACCATGGAGTGCGTGTGGATGTGAAGGACTGGGATGGCTGGGAGCCCCTGCACGCTGCTGCCTTCTGGGGACAGGTAATTCATACCCATAGGGCTGCAAGGGAGGCCAGCACAGGGTTATCCTGCTGTCACCAAGCCTTTGGGCTGGCGATTGGTTCAGGAGAACACAAAACCCACTTAAGTTATTGACCATAGTGAGCATGTGGGATATGAAAAGCCTTGGGGAGTTTGCAAAAATGTTTTACTAGTTGTGTCTTAAAGGGATAATCAAATTTCCCAGCATTTCTGCTTTGAGAAGTTTCTCCATTTGTTTTCCATATATAATTACATCTTATACAGCCCCCCTCCTTAGACACCTAGCAGCTCTAGAATCACAGCCAAATCCTCCTTTCCAGCCCCCTTGGTGTGCCCAAGGCACCTTGGAGGTGTCAAGCTCATTGGATCTTACAGAATTCCCCCATGGCTCTAGGGTGCAAGATATTCCCTGGGAATCAATTTCTCCCCACCATTCTTCAGTTCACATTCTAAGAGGCCTTGAGGCCAAGTCCAGTGGTGCATGTCTGGAATCCCAGCTACTTGGGAAGCTGAGGCAGGAGGGTCATGAGCTCAAGGCCAGCCTGAGCAACATAGTAAGGATCTTGTCTCTAAACAGAACAAAGCAGCACAATAAACCTGTTGGGTCTGAGGATATAGCTTTAGCAGTAGAGTGTTTCTAAGCATAATAAGGCCCTTGGTTCAATCCCCAGCATGAAAAACAAAATAAAACAAACAAACAAAAGCTGCTAGGACTTGGGCACTCTATCTACCTCCTAGGCTTTCTGAACCCTGGCTAGAGGAACATGGGCTTCTTGTGTTTCAGATGCAGATGGCAGAGTTGCTGGTGTCCCATGGAGCTAGTCTCAGTGCTAGGACATCCATGGATGAGATGCCAATAGGTAGGTCCAGCACTGTACCTGGTATGTACATAGGGACTCATCAATCTTCTGATAAGTGAAGGGATAAGTGGATGAATATATGGCTGGATAGTGATGGGCTGGTTGTGAGATTTCTCAACCTCTGCATAATTTCTTGCTTGGGCTACATGAATGGGGTACTCACTTGTTTCACTTTAGACTTTTTATTTATTTTAAATTTTTTGTTAGTACATGTTTGCAGTACATAATGATTACACTCATCCTGAGGAGTTGTATGTGCACCTAAAACATCATAATTCTTTTTACTTCCCCTGCCCCTTCCCTCTCACTCTCCTCCCTCCATGTCTTGTGCTTAAGACTTACTGATTCCCCCCTGAAACTGTCGAAGAGGAACATGAGTCCCTTGGTCCTAGCTGGAACCTTGGGTGTTATAACTGCATGGAATCTGGGTTACCTATTCTCACACTCTTGTAAGGATGTGCTTGGTGCCAGGAACTAAAGCTGGCATTTTCTCCCCACCCTGCATGTGTCCAAAGATTCTTTGAGCTTCCAGCGGGTTGGAGTGATGGCTCCTCTGGGCTGGAGCAGCCTCTGGGTCACAGGCCTCTGCCCTGCTCTCACTGGCTTCTCCGTCCCTCAGACCTGTGTGAGGAGGAGGAGTTCAAGGTCCTGCTGCTGGAGCTCAAACACAAGCATGATGTGATCATGAAGTCACAGCTGAGGCACAAGTCATCCCTGAGCCGGAGGACATCCAGTGCAGGCAGCCGTGGGTGAGTCAGGGGCAGGGCATCCAGGGCTCCCCCTGTCTGTATGTGCTGTGGAGCCTGGGCACAGGCCTCCAGCACCCACTCTGTCCCCTCAGGAAGGTGGTACGTCGAGCCAGCCTATCGGACAGGACCAACCTGTACCGGAAGGAGTATGAGGGAGAGGCCATACTGTGGCAGCAGCGGAGTTCAACTGAGGACCAGCGCACTGCGACCTACAATGGGGACATCAGGGAAACCAGGACAGACCAAGAGAATAAGGACCCAGTGAGTGACCTCATGCCCTGGCCCAGTGTCAGCCACTGACTTGGGAGGAGGACAAGGTGCACCTTGGTTTTGGCTTCTTGTCTGAGAACCTTCCAAGGGAAGTGGCTGGCCCTAGCAGCTGGATCCCGCCTGATGGTGGTAGCTAGTGTAGTTACTGAGGTGACCGCAGGCCATGTGAGTCAGAGCTGGAAGCTTTGGCATGTGGGGCAGGGGTGCATCTCATAACTGACAGGGAGAGAGTGACTACCATGCAGCTGCTTGTCTCCCACATGTGGGTTCTGGACCTGCCAGAAGAGAGGTTCAGCAGGGCAGTTACCCCAAGAGCTAAGGGCATTAAAATATTTTGTAGGAAATAAAGCAAGATGTGAGAATGGTGTTTATCAGAACACATCTAATTGGAAGACATTTTCGGAAACACTGAGTGGGTGTTGGGAGGACCTCTGAGAAGCCTTCCCAGGAGTAGCCTGTAGTGGTCCTGGGCTTTGAAATATTTTCCTAAGAGGGTACATGTTTACTTCCCGTGGCAGCTCTGACATATAGTGGTGGCTCACGTTTCTTGACTTTGGTCAGCATGGATTCAATCTCTGTTCCAGCCTTCATACTCCTTTTTCCTTGCATCTCTCTCTCTCTGTCTCTCTTTTGTGTGTGTGTGTGTGTGTGTGTGTGTGTGTGTGTGTGTGTGTATTTAATAAGGACACCATTGGATTAGGGTTTTCCTCATCCAGTAAGACCTTATCTTAATTTGACTAATTGTATCTCCAAAGAATCTAGTTTCAAATAGTCACATTCAGAGGTTCTAGGTGAACGTGAGCTTTTGAGGGACATGACTGAACCTAGTACCAGCACAGTCAGGTCCACACACAGGTGCTGTCTTGCTGGGTGGAGAGAAAAAGTTTAGGGCCAGGGCAGAATTGCCGAAGAGAAAAAGGGAGAAGAAGGCTCTACTAGTAGTGGTCTGCCTTTCTGGTTCTCCCACCACACAATGAACAGATGAAAACATTTCTAGAGGATATTGCTTAGGTAGGATGGTTAGCTGCCCTGAATGCCCGTATGTCTCAGTAGGGCCCTGTTTCCCAGCGGGCACAGGCTGTCTCATCTGCAAGAGGGAAGGTGCCTGTTAAGGGCCTGCCCATCAGAGGCAAAGTAGCCTGCCTATGCAGAGGGTACACATGGAAGCTTTGTTCTGCCATCTCTCAGCTTGAGGGATAGGGAGAAAAGAGTTGTAGATGAAAACATCACATTTCAGATGCCTCCCACATATGTTTTACTTATTTATTCTTTGTGATTCAGGTGTATCTTCTGTATGGTATGGTACATGTCTTAGTTACTTCTCTCATTGCTGAGACAAAATACCTGACACCCAAAGTTAAGGGAGGAAAGGTTTACTTCAACTCAGAGTTTGAAGAGGTTTCAGACCATGGTTTGCTGGCTCCAAGGCAAGGTGGCATGACAGAGGGGCATCACAGAGGAGAAACAGTCCGTGGCAGGACAGGCAGAAAGCAGCAAGCAGCCCTTTCTCTTTTATCCCATCCAGGCTACAAGCCTTTTGGGTGGTGCCACCCATACCCCGAGTGGGCCTTCCCATTGTCAACACCCAGAACTATGCTAGACCAATCAGTGGGCTAATTTAGTTATCATACCCTTAATCCATATTCACACACCCTTAATCTGCATTCAAACACCCTAGATCCAGCCACCTCTGAAAAGCCCCACCTATGAGCAAATGAGGCTTTGGGGGACATTTAGATATAACCCATAACAGTACGTAAATCTGACGTGCATTTATTAATTTTATTAATATTTTTATTAATGATTAAATTATTAATAAATATATTAATTTTATTAATATATTTTATAAATGTGTACAATTAGATGAATACATAAAATATTTTTATCACCCTAGAAGGCTCTCACGTTCCCTCTCTAGGAAGCACTGAAGATTAGTTTTGCATATGCTATGTATGCATATGAACATGTAGCAGGATATCTTTGTATCTGGCTTATTTAGTGTCTGTGTTCATCTGTGTTGTGGCATATAGCAATAGTTGATTCTTTTTCACTGCTGTGTTGTTTGTATATAGTCAGTCCTTCATATTTGTGAGTTCAGCTGGAGATTTAGCTCAGTGGTTCTGCCGCCTGCCTTGAAAGCACAAGGTCCTGAGTTCGATCCCCAGTACCAAAAAAAAAAGTTTGTGAGTACGTATCTACAGATTCAACCAACTTCAGATTGAAAATATTGTTTTTTAACATTCTGAACATGCAGATTTTTTCCTTGTCATTATCCCCTAAACAATACAGCATAGTACTTACATAGCATTTATATTGCATTAGGTACTATAAATAATTTAGAGTTGTTTTAAAGTATATGAGAGAGGCCCAGGGATTTAGCTCAGTGACACTGTGCCTGCCTTACAATCACAAGGTCCTGAGTTCAATCCCTGATACAAAAAAAAAAAAGACTAGATAAAGTATATGAGAGGAAGTGTATAGGTTATATGCAAATATTACATCATTTTATGTAAGACACTTGAGCATCTGAGGATTTGGGTTTCCACAGGGAGCCCTGGAACCCATTCCCTGTGGATATTTAGAGATAACTGAATTACAATTTATCTGTCCATTCTCCTATTCGTGGACATGTGGATTATTTCTAGTTTTTGGCTGTTATGAATAAAGGTGCTACAGTGAACATGTTTTTTGGTAATGCAGTATGGAGTAGGCATGTTTAGCTTTAGTAGATGCCACCAAGCGTTTCCAAAGTGGTTATATCTAGAGCCAGGCGTTTTGGTCCAGGACTGTAATCCCAGCACTCTGGAGCCTGAGGCAGGAGAATCACTGTGAGTTTGTGGCCAGCCTAGGCTACATAGTGAGTTTAAGGCCAGCCTGGAATACAGGGGAGACTCTGTCTCAAAAAACAAAAATAAACAAATAAATATAAATAAAGCGGTTGTACCTATCTCCTTCCCCATCATCAGTGTAAGAGTGTTTCTTGCCACTCTTGGTATAATCAGTCCTTCTAACTTGAGCCATCCTTGTGGGGTTGCTGTGGCAACTCACATTTTAAACTTACATTCACCTGATGATGTATGCCGTTGAACTCCTTTTTTTGTGCTTATTGGCCCTTGAATTATTGTCTTTATGAAGTAACTTTTTTTGTCCTTTTTTATTGGGTTATCTTTTCCTTATTGATTTGTAACTGACTGAGATACTTAAAGAGATCCTCACACAAGCAGTTGCTCCCCTCCATGTTTGCTTTGTCTAGGTGTTTGTTCCACTCTCACAGGCCCCAGGACTCCCCCAGAAGTGCTCATTGATGTGGACTCCCAGAAATCATTAAGCCTGCAGGGAACAGGGTATATGTAAAAGGATGCTGGAGACCCCTTTAGCTAGGGTTGGTTTTGTTTTCATTCTACTTAATTTCTAGGGCTTCCTCATCAATGCCGCAGCTTGTTTAGTGTTAGGTAACACCAAAGACGGACATCTTTGCCTCTGAGGTGAGTTTTTCAGGCCTGGGGAAGAGACAGGTAACAGAGAAGACATGGCCAGAGCAGACAGTCCTTATCCTAGGGCAACTCTCAGGGTCCAGGCCCCACATAGATCACCGGACACAACTACAGAGTTCAAAGCAAGTTCCTTTTTCATCCCTACCCCTTTCCAGGCTTTAGGCGTTGGCAAGCATGTGATAGTCTCTAAGGGAGGAATTCTCCCCAGTGTGGCCCTGGGGCCAGCTGCATCAGTATCACCTGGGAACTTGTAAGAAGTACTGGTTCTCAGGACCTGCCCAGGATGTACCAAAACAGAAGCCCTGAGCCAGGGGCCTCCAGGTGTAGATTCTGATGCATGTGAAGATAGGAGAGCCACTTATCTGAGGGAGTATTTGTTCAGCCTGCCTCCCACATCAGCACCTGTCATGGTTCTGCCCTGGAAGCCCCTAGGACTGGCTTTGCTTTAAGCTTTGGCAGAGCTAATTTCCTGGTCCTGGGCATAGTGGCAGTAGGACAGCCCTAGGCTCCTGAACCGTGGGTCACAAATTTAACTGTGCAATAAAATCAGCTGGGGAGGTGTTTTCCTTTTCTTTCTTTTCTCAGATGATTCCTATATACCTCTTCATACGCTCCTCCCCAGGCTCCCTTTCTCTTAACATCTTGCATTAACACAGTATGTGTACTGTCATTGATGAATCAATTGATACATTATTGTTAACTAAAACCTATGGTTTACATGGGAGTTCACTCTGTGTTGTACATTCAGTGGGTTTTGACCAAAGCCTGATGTCACATATCCACCGTTATGATGTCATGCAGAATATTGCCCCAAAGTCTCCAGTGCTCCAGCTACTCATCCTCCCCAAACCTGGCAATCACTGGCCTACTGTCTCCAAAAGACTGTCATCTTTTCCAGAATGTCACGTAGTTGGATCATAATAACTTTTAAAATGTGTGTCGATGTGATGGGCAAAAGTTATATTTTTGTTTTGATTTTTATGTTATGAATTAATATTTACTAATGCTGCATATTATTCCAATGTTTATATACTATGTATATCTATCTACTTTGAAGTAAGCTGTGAATTAGTGTTGTTTGTTTTTCTGTTGGGTACTTAGGCTTTTTAAAACTGACTTTTGAGAGCTCTTTGTATTTGAGAATCTAGCCCCTTCCACATCATACGTGTTGCAAATGTTTTTCCAATTTTTTTAATGTGTCTTTGACTTTGTGTAGATTTTTTTTGCTATGCTTTGCATCTTTGTTATTGTCAAATGTATGTACCTTTCATTTTATAGTTGCTAGGCAGCAGCTACTTTTCGTTTCAAGTTCCAAGGATTATTGTGCATAAAGGACTCTTGGGTGAGAATCTTTGTTGTGTGAGGTGGAGATATGCTAGGAATAGAGAGGAAGGTTTATGGAGTATTTATAAGTGACCAAAGTAAAATTGAGTTAGACAAACACAGAATTTATTGCCTCATGTAAATGGAAAAGTCTGAGCACAGCCAGATCCAGGGGGTAAAACACATCACAGGGGACAGTCTCTGCCTCTAGTCTTTCTTTCTTTTTTTTTTTTTCTTTAATAGGCACTTAATATTGTATGTATTCTACGGTAAATATTTTTTTCCATTACATTTATTGGTATATTTTAGGTATACAATACAGTTACATTCATCATTGGGATCTTGTAAGTTTACATGATGTATCTTGGTTCTTATTTTTTCCCTATTCCCCTGCTCTCCCTTCACCCTTTTCTTTCTTGGTATCAGTCTCTCTCCCAAACAGAGAAAGCACCTTTGACATGGTATCAAAGGTCTCCAGCCCCAATTTACACCTTTCTTACCTCCTACAGTTCCTACAGAAACTTCTCCTTCCTAATTGTTCTAACAAAAGTCCTGGGGTTGAGTTTCACTGAACTAATTTCAGTTAAATACTCATTCCTGGACCAATCCCTGTAATAAGATATGTTGATTAGCCAGCCCTGGGGTCATGGTCCAGCCCCTGGGGCAAGGACAGAGGATAGCTAGCTCTATCAAAACACAAAGATTGGTGATACCCAGAACACAGAGGCCCTGTTTCCCAGGTAGAGAAAATGGATAGAGGATAAGTCTGCTCCTGCCCTGAGCAGAGATACAGGTAGGTGGAGATTCTCTAGCCAGTTGGTAATGTTTTCCTTCTTGCCCTCAGAACCCCAGGCTGGAGAAGCCCGTGCTGCTCTCAGAGTTTTCTACCAAGATCTCACGGGGTGAACTGGATGGGCCCATTGAGAATGGCCTCCGGGCTCCGGTCAGCGCCTACCAGTATGCACTGTCCAACGGGGATGTCTGGAAGGTGCACGAGGTGCCTGACTACAGCATGGCCTACAGCAGCCCTGGCATGGCTGAGACCACCCAGCCCTGGAGCGGCTTCAAGGAGCAGAGCCCCCAAACGCTGCTGGAGCTGAAGCGGCAGCGGGCTGCAGCCAAGCTGCTCAGCCACCCCTTTCTGAGCACTCACCTGGGCAGCAGCATGGCCAGGTCAGGGGAGAGCAGCAGTGAAGGCAAGGCACCCTTGATTGGAGGCAGAACTTCACCCTACAGCAGCAATGGGACCTCGGTGTATTACACGGTCACCAGTGGGGATCCCCCACTCTTAAAGTTCAAGGCCCCCATAGAGGAGATGGAGGAGAAAGTCCATGGCTGCTGCCGCATCTCCTAGTCTCCTCATATGGAGGAGAAAGATGCCTCGGGAAGGGGTCCCTGGAATCCAGGCCAGCCCAATAGCCCTGGCTGGGGAGGCATCAGAGGGAAGCTGGGAAGAGGTGGGCTCTCCTTTCCAGAGGAATGCTGACCCCACCTCCTGCCCAGCTGTCCATAGCAGCCCCATCCCCTTGGTTCTGCTTCCTGCTGCATTGTCTGCCATTGGAAACCTAGTGGCCCTCTCTCATTCCGCTGACCGATTGGGGGAGGGCAGGCTTAGGATTCCAGTTCTGTTTTGGTAAAGGCTTCTTGGGACCAGTACTTCCATGTCACACACACACACACACACACACACACACACAGAGTCATTGCACACATGTAGGGATGACACATACTGGGCTTGTGGGAAGCAGGTAGGATGAAAATGTGTGGGCTGTTCCCAAAGGGATTGAGGTGAACAAATCTCAGGGCCACTGCCATGTGGCTTAAACAAGGAGGGCCCCTGCTCAGTTGAGACCCACAGTCCTGCTTAGAGTCACACCAGAGCCTGGGCCACCATCCACATCTGGCAGGGACAGGAGGTCCTCTCTGTGTTTGAAGGAGCCAGAAATCCCTGTGAGTTAGATTCGACATGCACAGGCCTAGCCTTGCAGCTTTGCTGACAGCTGCCTTCCTGCCCCAGGATCTGTGTAAAACCACCCAGGGGGCAGAAAATACAGAGGTAGGGGAGGGCTGCAGCAAAGTCAGTGTTTCCCAAACTTCTTTTGATAAAACCATTCTTTTAGGTTGCAGACTCCAGGTGGGAGGAAACTAAGTTTGCCTTCTCCCCTAATGGTATCACATCAGGTTCTACTGGGTGGTGTTGGAAAAATGAAACTCAGGGAGGAGCTTCTGCTGGAGGCTTTTTCAGGGAGAAGAGGAAGTTCACATCCGAGTACATCACTGGTTAGCAGTGTCACCGCCCAGTGCCCTGGCCAGTCTTTGCAATATGCAGGCTATTTCGGTCCAGTGCATCTCAGCCACCCCTCCTTAGACTGCCATCTTAGTGAGTAGTTGGGGCCACCTGCGCCCCACCTCTCCCACCTCCTGCATCTCTTGTCGGTCATGTGTGCAGAGTGAATGCTCAGAATCCTAGCCCAGCTTTGCCTTTTCTGGAATATTTGTGGAGACAAGCTTGCCAGTTGGCCCTCATGAGTTCCTGCCTGGCCCCAGGGCTCCCAGCCTGGTGTTTTGATGCCCCAAGGCTGCAGATTCAAAGTGCCCATGGCCAGCACCCTATACTGTGTCAAGGAGAGCAATGGTAGGGCTGAAGATGGGTCTCACCCCAGCCCTTCAGTTCTGTAGCCCCAGTCTCCTTGATGCTGGAGAGGGCAGATTCCTGCCACCTCACTGTTTTATTTTTTCATGAGCTCCTTTGAAATTGTTCATGCAGTGGGCGCTGTCCACAGGCTCAGCCAAAATCTTTTAGCTGCAGGTTTGTTCCCTGCTCTGTGCGCCTTTAATTTGTTCTAAAACTACCTCCTTAGAGTTCTGAAGGGCCTTTTAGGTCCAGATTCTGAGGTGGGGAACAGATCTGGGTGCCCGTTAACCTGCATCTTTCTGAGCCTATGAAAAATTCTCCCTGAATGGCACCTGGACTAGGGCGAGCTGGGGCTGGAGGAGTCCCACTTGTGCCACAGCCCTAGAGGGTCTGCCGTTTGTCAGCCTCAGTCCCCTACTGTGGCCTTCTATGTCTCCCATATTCCAGAGGAAGCAGAACCTCAAGAGGCCTGGCTGATGCTTTGCCAGGAGTAGGGCTAGGCCAGAGAATACCAGTGGCGGCTGCTGGGCTCACAGAGGGTCTCCCAGCACCAGGCCACACCCACCCTAACTCCAGGGTAGCTACAGTAGAGAGGCAGCTCAGGAGACTGAAGACAGGTGTACATAGCACCTGTGGCATCCCTGGGGCCTGGGGTGGGTGCTCCATCATCTCAGCCTATGGCTGAAACAGTAGATGCTCTAAAACACATAGGATTGGCTTTAAAAGTCTTCAGCCCTGACTGGTGCTGAAATGCCTCAGCAGCTGACTTCATCTACAAGGTGGGAAGCGCTGAGGGCAGCCACATGCTCTCAAGAAACAGTGGTGCAGGGTCTCTCTAGTCCTTTTGCTCAGGGACCAGAAATAAGGCAGGCCTCCAGACCACTCCTTCTTTCCCCTTCTTTCTGCCTCCTGGGCCTTTACTCCCCACCCATAAAGCTGAGAATCCCAGCTGACACCTCCACCCCAGGAAATGGCCTCAGAGGTGACTCCCAGGATTTTTAGCTTGTGATTTCCATCAGGGATAAGTGTTCCCTGGTAGGGTTTCAGGTCCCGGGGGAGTCTTCCCCGTGGGTCTCCTGAGTATTGAGGGGCAAGTTGGGGAACCTCCAATGAATGAGCCAGAGTCATCTATTTATTCACTCATAACTTACTGAGTAACTGCGACATACCAAGTGCTATATTAGGTTCTATAGATGAAGGAGAAATAGGACACAGTGAGGACTGGTCTTTCTAGTTTTTATTCCTTGAGGACCATGGGCATCAGCAGTCCAGCCTAGTTCACCTGAGCAGAGCACTATTTCAGTTCTTGTAATCCTTAGAGTGTGAATCCCTTTGTTTGGGAAACAGCTTCATGACCACCCATGGATAACATTTGCCATGAAATGCAGATGTTGGATCTTGGGCTCCAGGCAGACACCATCCCAGGTCCATCTGGAACCTTTAAGGATAGCTGCCCTCAGGCCAGTTATCTCTGGGGGATATTATAATAGCAATCTGAGGTCAGTGCATAGAAGAATAAGGAGTCTGCCATTTGCTGCCAAGTGCATCTCTAGTTCTTAAAGTTGTTGTCTTTGCTCATTTTTGGTCATTTATCACATAGTCCTCCCCCCTCGCCCCATGCACATCAGGGGATACTAGGGGAGAAAGCAGCTGCTCCTTTTAACATTAAGCCTTTCCCCATGAGCTAGCCTCTCTCCTTGGTAGGTGTGGATTAAGAAGTTGGGAGAAGCCTGGAAAGGTCAATCAGATGCCCAGCTCTTGCCGAGCCCTAGCCTGGTGGTAATTCCTGACAGACTGATGGAGGTCACTTCCAAAGCAGGGGCCATAACGCTCAGTATAAGATCTGGCCCTTGCTCCCACCTTATGCCTCAAATAATTGAAAATTGGTGGCTATCATGAGATTGTGAGTTTCTGGCCAGTAGCTCAGGGAATCTGAATGAACCCTAGGCCCAGGTCAACTGAAAACTTTAGAATATAACTCTCCATCAGATATGCAGCATTCATAAAACTACTTTGCACTGTTTGATCAATTTCAATTGATCTATTTCCAAGAGGCTTCAAAAAGTTAATCAGGGTGTGGCCCCTGTCTTGGTCCACCAGTTTGCTGGCTTTGTAGTAATATGAGACTCTTAGTTCTTGATGTCAGGCATTGATCCTGGGCTCTCTCCCAGCTGCTTTCCCAGAGCAGGACACAGTGATACTTTCCAAAAAGGGGCTCCTTATAAGATGCCCAGAAGGACGGTATGTAACCCTTGTTATTTGTAGGCTGGGACAGCTTCCCCTCCCCCAGCACACAGAAGAGCAAAGGGTCACATAGTCAGTAGGCAGCTCCACAGAAGTGATTCCCTTTGCCAGAACCTATAGCTCTCTCCTCCCCAGGAGTCTCTATGGCCAGAGGGTTTCTTACCATAGGCATTGCAAGTGCCACCATGCGGGGCCTGGCTCTGCACACCTAGGAAAGTCTGCAGACCCCCAGTCCCCCCGCAATAATTCACCAGACCAGAAGCCACTGATGTACAGAGAACACTTAAGAAAAATGTATTTTATGTGAAAAAAAAGTTAAACTCTGTATACTGTATCAGCAGCTTTGTGTAAAAATGGCAATCAAGAGAGTCTAATATATTTAAAACTTTTTTTTAAAAATCCTCATGGATCTTTGATATTGTATTGAAGTAACTTCCAGGTAGCTCCTTGCCATGCGGCAGTGGTGGGCCTCATGTCCAAGATAGGCTTTGGCCACATCCCAAAGGGGCACATGCCCCTGAAGTTGCTTCCAGCTGCCAAGGCCTGTGATGGAATTCGCTGTTAAGAGTTTTTAATTAAAATTATTAAATTCCTTTTAATAACACCTGCCAGTGTGACTGTTTATTGCTCTGAGCTCAGTTGAACAGTGATGACTTGAATTTGTAAAAAGGTGGTGATTGGGATGGAGGGTGGGTCCTTGCCTTCACCATAGGGGCTCTCCCAGGTGGCCACTGAACCAGAGGGAGCTCTGGAGGCTCAGACATGTGGCTGATGTTTTTCTAGACTGGGAAATGATAAAAACATGATAGGTTGTTGGGAAGAAAAAAAAAGTGGATGGGAATGAATTTCATTCTGTCAAATATTCTTTTTTTTTTTTTTTTTTTGGTACTGGAAATTGAACTCCGGTCCTTAGCTTGTGAGGCAGGCGCTGGAACCACTAAGCTAAATCCCTGGCCCAAATATTCATTTTTAAACTCTATGAGGGCTCCACTCCGCAGGTCAGCCAAGCAGCAAGAAGCTCCTCAGCTGTGTCCTGGTTCCTGCCCATGCCACGGTGAGGTCCCAGGAGCAGCTTGGAGCCCCGCCTCCATCTGGCGCTCTGCTTAGCTCCACGGATGCCTGCAAGGTCCAGTTTCACTCCCCCCCACACACACCTTCTGGCTCTTCTGCTACCTGGTCCCACACTACAGAGGCACAAGGGATTATACTTCACATAGTTAAATGTGATAGATTAATAACTACCACAAATTGTCATTTTCTAAGCTGCGCTTGATGCTATGGTATTGCTGATTGTAACATTTGGCCTAACATGTTGTGATTGATCTAATCAGTTTTCCTTCCTGGATAAGGAAAATAAAATAC